ATTTCGGATCGCGAAAACAACACAATGGAGGGAGAATTGGAAAGAGAAAGTGAAGGAGGGAGGGGAAGAGCTATAGGATACATGAGTGCTTTTCTCGAGCCTCGGGTGCGGAGGTGAGCGTAAAGGGATGCCTCAGACACACACAAAGACTTGCGCGCAATCTTGAGCCATGGCGGGTGACGTAGTTGACAATTGATGTGGAAGCACAGATTCAGCGGCATGTCTTGACGCAGCTGCACAACGTCATGGTTCGAATGTAAGTGATGACATGACACACCTCAACCAGGCAGCCAGGCAGGGGCAGGGAGCAGCAGAGAATGAAAGCACAACACATGACATGGACATGGGCCGACAATCAGCTCCCGAAAAGAAAGCTCACATGGCATTCAAGCTTTGAGCGCCCCGGCCACTCGCCCTTCCACTGTAGCATCACGTACTGCCCGGCCTTGGAGAATCAGGAGTCAGCTGCGAGACGAATCTCACAAAAAACATCACGCAGCGACTAGAGTGAGCGACTCAGAGACACTTGGCAGTGCTTGGCAGTGCTTGGCAGTGCTTGGCGCAGGTCCTGGTAGGTGAAGTTTTCGGGGATCTCGAAGGTCAGGTGCACCACGTCGAAAAGGAGCAGCCTTGCCTCAGAGAATGCGCCAAGAATTAAGAATGCCCCGCTCTGAAGTGGGCAACAGTGCAAGCTGGGCAAAAATCGGCACAAGGGTGCGCACCAGATTTTGTAGGTGCACAGCTGCGCTGAAAGGTGTTGCACAGACCCTTATGAAGATGAGGTATTCACAAGCCCCCGTCAACCTCACAGTCTTTCAACTGTCCTGGCTGAAGTTGGCTGAAGCTGAGATGATCCCCTCAAACTGTAGCCCTGGCAAATGGATGACGGCCCCTTCTGTCAATCACAAGGCCTGCGTCAACACAAAGGGGGCACAGATTCCAGTGGAGCGGGGCGTCTTCGTTGGCGCAAAGCTTGGAACTCGAACAAGACCAGAAGCGCAGAGAACTTTGGGTCACTGTGGGTGTGTCCGATAGATCCTGAACATTTCCACATTCGAGAAAACTGTTCTCAAAAGGTGCCACCGAGAGGGGGCTCCCTCCCTTCGCTCCGTGTGGGGACAAAACATAGTGCTGCAAGCTCGACTTGTTCAAAACGTCGTTAAAGAACAGGGCCTCTCACTCGCTGTGTAGGCTCCGTAGAAGTCTATCAACTCTACGGTGTCCTCTCCAGCACTTGTAAGAGTGAAATCGTGGGAAAGCCGCTTTTTCGCATGCGTCCGGATTCCATGAGCATCGGGCCAGGGCGAACCAAGCCGCCAAGCGTGCCAGAACAAGAAATCCTTGCCTTCTTTTGAGGTTTGCATGTGTTCTCACCGCAACTCTCGCCACGTGACGATAATGGATGCGGCACGCCGAATGTCTCACGAGCACTTTAATTTGCGTCAGACAGCTGCGTGCCCATCGGCGGCGTTTGACAAATTACAGAACAAAGTCAACTGAGTATGCGATCTCAGTGTGTGTGAGGCACTAGGCTTCCTTGTAGGCGACCGAGACAGACAGTGAATATCAGCCTGAAGTAAACACCTTAAAATCTTGGAAAAAACGACCGACCTTTCTTCCGTTTGTGGCCCTGAGCTGGCTCCAAATCGTGTGCTCCCAAGGGCCGTTCAATCTGTATAAATGTTCCTTTTTTGCTTCGTGCCCTGAATCACAAGCGCGTCGCAATGATGACGGGGCCCTGCCTGGCGCCCGTATGAGGGCCGTAGTATCGGTGAGTTTCACACTGAGAGCTCAGGGCCCACACTTGGGCAGGTGAAGCTAAAACATCTCTTCCAAGCCTTGCTCAAATGCCCTCAGGCGTCTTCATGAAAGTACAGTGCTTTGGTACTTGATGTCTGTCCGTGCCAACTTGCAAATACCCAAGTTACAACCGTTGCAGTTGCTCAGCTTGGTTACTGCACAGAGAGAAAGAACAGAGCTCAAGTCTGTTTCGGCGGTGGGGCTGGCGAATGGCGGGTGACATACTCAGAGAGACTTTCCTCTTAGAAAGATGCACTTAAGAAAAAGGGGCCTCCAGTTCCTTTCTCAGACCAAGTGTTGACCAAGTTGGCCTCCGTTCTTTCTTTTTGATCCACCAGGATTTGCTCCCAGACCGCGGGGCAGGGCGCGCAAACGCACGACGTGTCGAACATTTGTGCATTCTGTTGCATGCTTTAATCAGATTTCGAATCAGGCGCAGGACAATGTGACAAGCTCCCGGCACTAGTGAGGACTGCGGGGTAGCGCTGGCGCTGCCACAGAAGCAGCCGGTCCACAGCCACAAAGAGGAAGGGGAAGAACATCCAGACCCAGAACCTCAAGGAGTCAAGCCGGAGTCGGAATCCTAACATGCTAACAGCTGCTAACACACGTGCTAACATGGACTTCACCACACTGAATCAGGCACGACAGCTTGCCTGGAAGTGCCATGGGCCAGCAGCAGGAGGTACACGAGCGGCCAGAGAGCGTGGGTCTCAGTTGAGATTGCAAGAGATACTAGGACATCATTTACCCATGAAGGCAAAACCTACAGCCACAATCGGCTGCGTCGTGCACCAAGAATTTATTCTCACGACATATCCGTGACAATGGTGTCCTCTGACGGGCTATTTGGAGGCTATTGCCAGAAATATAATACTTTTCACTGCTGACTACGCAACGGTCATTTATGTCTCTGTCTCGCAATGGCTCCTGTTGTTTTGTACAGTAGTTATCGCTCAGTGCTCCCGGAAAATTCGGAACAAAAGAGTCTCAACACCTCCCCCCACCGAGCTCGCTGTCACGCGCTCTCTCTCGGACGCTCCACAAGCAGCGGTGCTTTCGGTGCTTTCTCGGCCCGCTGCGCGCTGGAAGAGCCGGAAGCCGCCGCAGCGACGCGCCAGGCACTGCAGTTTGCACTCGCAGGAGGACGTGAGAGACACATGCCCATTCTTGCTCTCATGCACTCATACGCCTGTTTGCCCGACACGCACAAAAGGTGCTCATAAACTTCAGCTGTCAGGGGTGCCGGGGTCGCTTTCTTTCCCTTTAATTAACACTTGCCCTTGGAAACTTCTGCGCTTTCCAATCGGTGGAGCTGCGGCTGCTTTTGCAAGGCATGGCGAAGTGTGTCCAAGCGGTCTGAAGGCAGCACACGGGGATTGCGGAGGCAGGCGCAATTGGAGCGGTGGCTCCGCTACCAAATACTAGATATTTTCCATGCACAATGGCTAGGGGTGGCACAAGAAGTGCAATTAAGGCAAAATGTGAGCCACGTTTGTTCAGTTTGTTCTTCTCCTTCGCTCGGCCGTGACGAGGTCATTCTTTCTCGTAAAATGGCATCTCCGCGAGTGAGTAAACCATTAGCGAGCAACGTGCCACACACTGTCAATACCCGCCCCCTCTTGGTGCAAACTTCGCAGCTGTAGCTGTTAGCTGTATTCCGCACACACACGCGCACACACATGTGATAGCTGTGATGTGATAGCTGTGGTGGCCTGCAGTGCGCAACCAGGAACAGCCCGAACAGCACAGCACTCCGGGTGCCACGCGCACGTGGCCCGACGGACCGAGGGCACAGCCGTGACCTCCGAGAACGTACACGTACAAAAGTTGTACAAAAGCGTCAGTCAAGTTGCTTTCAGCCGTTAGCTGGGCCGAGGCCGCCCGAGGCCGCCCGCGTACAGGATGCACATGAGGGCGGAGATGAAGATGCCTCCAAGGCTTCTCACAGTGCACAGGATGTCAGGTGCAATTCCATTTTGGGCAGGGGGCCTGTGAAGTTGGACCGCGACTGCAACAGCTCCACCTCAATATTGCGCGCAAAGGGGTGCAGAGAGTTGAACTTAACGGGAGAGGAGCGGGGGGCGGAGACACATGAACTTTTTGGGAGGGAGGGAGAGAGAGAGAGAGAGACAAAGAGAGAGAGAGAGAGAGAGAGCCAGCTTCCCTCGAGAAAGAATGAACATGGGCAGAGCGTACCTGTGCCTCTCTGGCCTTTTCCTCCCGTGCTTTTTGAAATTCCCGACTGCTTTCAGGCCCCTGGCAACGGCGGTGCCCGCCAGGCGCTCCTCAGAAACACGAAAGCGGGTGGCGCGGTGCCCCGGAACAAAAAAACTTTCTGAACTGTAGACATCTAATCGAGCCATAGAATTATGTATAAAGTTATTATAAAGATATAGAGTTATATAGAGTTATACAGCCATTGACGAGAGAGCCTGCTCCTACTTCTGAGGGAGGCCTAGGGAAACAAAACACCCTGAACAACACGCACAGGCACAGTAGAGCTATAGCAACTATAGCAGTATTTAAAAAGAGCTATGGATTTCACAATTGTCCCACCGAGCTCATGGGGATGCTTGGCTTTGTGGTTCCCGCTTGCAGTTGTTTTGCCCTCTAGAGTGGTCCTACCCTGCTCGCTATGTGCTGCCCCTGCAAGTCCAACAGTCGCAGAAAACGAGGCGGTTCACAACCTTCATGGTAAACCGGGCGGTTGCGACACAGGGACGATGTGGAGAGGTAGTTTCCATGGCGCGAAATCTGCAAATTTTGATGGTGTTTGAAGCAGTTCCCAGGTGCTAGCTTCTAGAATATGCCAGAGTCACGCAGCAGTCACGCCAGAGTCACGGGCAAAATGGGGCGGTTCGAGCCCTTTCCTCTTTAAAATAAGAGAAGAGTCACGCCAGGATCACGCCAGAGTCACGGTACTTCGCGCCCGGGCAAAAACAGTAAAACACAGCTGAACCCGGTCAAAGAAGCTTCTAAACTCAGTTCCATTCTCCCCCAAACCAAGCACCCTCTGGCTCCGGCTGGTGAAACGAGGCGGTTGCGACAAGAATTGCAACCGCCCTAGTAAACAAGGCGGCTGACGCGCAGGGTGCGCTGCGTCGTGGGGTGTCGTGTTGAAATTCGCTCTTTGTGACGCAGTGAGAGTGCAACTTGTGCCTCGTCGGAGAGGCGCCAGGCTTCAAGCGGATCTGACCTTAAAACTCATTCGTGCCAACGAGAGCCGCAGTGAAAGACTTCTCTCCGCAGCAGGCCGCCGACAACTTCCCACAAGGTCCCACAGAGCAGCCAGGGCGCTGCAGCACGGGCGACCCTGCGATGTGGTTGATGTGAATGACGTGGGAGCCCACCTCAGCCAGCCTAGAAACGCACCCTCTTTTAGCAGTCTGAGCCAATTCCTTCCTGCTCAATATAAGTTTATAAGCCTTACGAGCTCTTCGAGATTTGCACCACTTTTGCACCTCTAAGTCTTCTAAGCCCCAAGGCGTGAATGATGCTGTTGATGGCAATGAGCGTCGCCACCGCGATATGGAAGGAGATGGGGTCATCCAGAGGGATCCACCTTCGACTCGACATGGCAAGGAGTGCAAGAACTAGAAACAACATCTGCCTGCCCATCACTCTAGTCCATCACTCTTTAACATCTCAGTCCCATCTTCTCTGCTTGAAAGATTGCCCTTCTCGCTGCCACCTGCTGACATCGCTTGGTCTGGGCTTCCAGCTCCCGTGCTCGGCCGCCTTTGCCGCGCAAGGCCTCATAAGGCTGAGAACAAGAACAAAACAGCCCGTCCCCCCCCAAAATGTGTCCCAAAAATGCCCCTCCCCGCCCCCCTCCTCCCCCCCCTCAAACTTGCCCCAGCCGTCTGCAGGCTCTTCAGCGTTGGCAGGAGCAGCAGCGCCAAGTCCAAGTCCAACCTCAGAACGGAATTAAGAATCCTCAGCCGCTCTTTTAATGAACGTCTTGAAGGGCAGCGATACGATGCGATACGATTACTCAAGTACCGTACTTTGGCAACACTTTGGCTCCAGGTCTCTTGCCTGATATTTTTTGGACTCGGCGAACGTAGAAGACTTCAGAACTCCATGAGCAGCCCGCAGCACTTCTCTCCAACAGCCCCGTTTTAACTGCGTTGACAACTTGTTCCCCCCCCACTCCCCCCCCACTCCCCTCCCCCCTCCCCCCCTCCCCACCCCCCCCGCGGCGCCCCACGTGTGCCGCCCTGTGCCCGCTTTTACTCCGAGTCGCGGAGATGATCTCACTAGAGAGGAGTGTCCCTCCCCATTATCTCGCGAGAAGGAGGGGGCGCGCGCGCCACGAGAGCACAGCGAAGGCTCTCTCTCCGGCGCGCGCCGAGCGTGAAAGCGCCCCCCTTCTGAATAGAGGACTCCTGCTGCTTTTTGAGCATGCTTCTTTTGTAAAAAAAAGACGTGCTTTTTCCCTTCGTTTCCTTTTTTTTGGGGGGAGGGGGGGGGTTGGGAGGGGTGGGGTTGGGAGGGGTCGGGGGGGGGGGGTCGGGTTTGCAAAAAGGGTCTATAACAAAACAGATGACACGATCCTCTACACTTATTTCATAATCTAAATTTGACACCTTAAGCGCCGCTCTCCCACCGGCTTTGGGGGTCCCCGCTGGACCTCCAAGGGGGGTCCTTTGGGGGGGGCGGGTGGGCCGGGTGGGCCGGGTGGGTTCCTGGGCTTCCCTCTCCGTATGAAGAGAGGGACTCTGCCTCTTTTTTCCTCAAAAGAAGTGTGCAACTTTGCGCCAAAGTTGTGGACTCGGCTTGGAAACTCTTCGATGGGCTGATCTCTCGGGGCTTCTCTCTTTCTTGGCTTCCGGGCGCGAAGCCGGCGCCCTTGGCCAAAGGGTAGGCGAAGCTCTCCTCAAAGCCAAGTCCTGACACGGCAAACTCCCGCAGCCCCCTCCAGAAAAAAGGAAGAGCAAACAGAAAACTCAGGAATCTCTCTCTTTTTTTCTTGACCGCTGCACCAAATCGTAACCCCAAGACTTGCCAAGGATCCTATCAAGTTATGCAGATACGTGGCGGGTATGTTGTACGAGTAACATTGCATCTCGACAGGGAAAACGCGCTATACACCATGACGTCAGCACCCACATCTGAGGGCGGCGTGGAAACAAACTAATTGGACATAACAACCTCACGAGGGCGACGGTATAAGCAAGGCAAAACACACACTGGGAGAAGCCGCCCTTGCCACGGCACGAAGAGACTCCATAGGTGCGAGGAGGCAGCGCCTCACCGGAATCAACGTCCCAAACTTCCCAAACAAAGCACGCCCCCCCAATGAATCATCCAAAACCCCTAACCACCCAGCCCCGAAGAACCGAGGAAGAACCGAGGAAGAACCGAGGAAGAACCGAGGAAGAACCGAGGCTGTCTTTCTCTTAAGATATTTATCTGGTGAGTATAAGTTCGGCAAGTTTCCACCACGAGCATCCACCAAAAAATGGATGCAAGCCTTGGCAAGGCTTGGGAATGAGAGGAGAGCTTTCTCATCTCTCCAAAAGCGAAGTGCGGAGCTTTGTAGGCTTGTCTCCAAGCATAAGCCTTGGTTTCCTCGCTTTGCTTCGGACCGACCCGATTAAAGAAATACACATGCGACATGTAGTTTCCGACGGACAGAAAATCATCCCGGCGTCTGCATAATCGATAGAGTTGCTTATATGCGCTTGTACGTAAGAATGTGACGATTGCAACAATACTACCACGACTCCTCAACCACTCGGACTTTGAAAGGGAGCATTTGGAAAACGCAGGCCCCACGGCACACCCTTCTGTTCGAAAAATGAGCCGTTTGACATCCAGAAGCATTTGTCTCGATCTCAAAACACACCGGAAAAAACTCGCAAGTAGAGTTGAAGAACACGGGGCCCCACAGCGTTCCACTCTCCAGAATCAACTGCAAGAACATTAAAGTGTTGCTTGGCTAGGTTTATGCTCGAGCGACAAACCACCAAGCAAAACGGCCGACCCAGCCGCAAGCAACACGTCAGGGTGCTTCGAGTGTGGCAAGGGGCCATAGAGCTCCGAAGGCAGAACTGATTAAGTTGATTGATTCTTGTACGTGAGGTGTTGCGTGGTCGTCGCTGGGTGTATGCTCGGGCCATCCAACCCAACCGGCTAGTTAGCCACGCGTTGCGTCGGGGCGGTTTTAGAAACTTTGGGGTTTCGGAGCATAGCCCATGCTTATGTGCTTATGTCAGACGTTCGCGTTTTATTGAGAGTTTGGGCTTTGTTTCAGGGGTGATAAGTGATCAGGGGCTGAAGGGCTTAGGGTGTTGCGGGTGTTCATCTTGACCACAACAGTCCGACAATTCGCTCACAGAATCCCCGGTCCGACGTGCAAGAAGTAGCCCCAGAAGAAGGCCAGGATGTTCAGCACGATGAGGCAGATCATCGCGAGGCGCTGTCCTGCTTAACACAGTGATGTGCCCACGGAGTCCGCTCTGGACTTCTGCGTGGGTCCTTCTCCCAAGCCGACGGCTAAAAGGCATCGGTAGCAGCGCGACGGCTTCGACCTCCCCAGCAAAAATACTGCAAAGAATGGCAATTCTTATTGTGGAGGAGGGATGAGGGGGGGGGGAGGGCGGGGGGCGAGGGCATCTGTACCGGAGCAGCGAGGCGGCGAGTGGCGGACAGCAATATGGCGGGGGGGCAGGGGGGGGGAGGGCGGGGAGGGGTAGGTAATACCAAGTAAGGGGTATAAGTACTTGTGAGAGCGTACGTATCAGGTGTTGGGGGCACCTTTTGGGGCAACAAGAAACAGAAGCAGACTCTTGAGGGTGATTTTTGTCAGTGGGATTGTGCACCTCGGTGCTTCGGCGTCTGCCAGGGCCTGTACCAGGGCCAACATGCAGACAGTACAAAGGAACAAGACACGACAAGGAGAGCACAAGAGCTTACCCTCTGGCCTTTCCCTTTCAAAGGCTGTGCTCCTCCCCTCTTTGTTTCATGTTGGTTACCGTGGGTGTGAGGATGGGTGGTGCCTTTCGGCGCAGACTGCTTCTTCCATTTGCGAGCTGTGGGGCCACGGGGCCAGTCCGGACAATTTCTGCTGGGCTTTGTCCTGTGGCAAAATCGCAGGGAAGTTAAGTAAACAGGGGCCGTAACAAAACCCGGTGACACACGACAAAACCTGTTCGCCGCTCGCCCCAGGTCACGGACACCCACGGGACAGGTGACCCTGGGACTGACACCTTCCCTAGAGCTCCCCCCCGAAAAAAGTGATTTTGCTCAATGTGCTCATGTGTTCTAGGATTCTAGGATACTCAACGCAACCGATCTCAACCTGAGGAACAGCGGACATGATGCACCCAGTCCGATCATCTTCTTTGGCACCGAAAAAGTCAAAAGGTCAAAAGGTCCAGGACATCAAAAGACAACTTAAACTGATTTCGGAAGCTTGTAAGTGTTGGCATCTCAAGGGATGGTATGACTGGCACGCTTTCGGCAATCCGTGACCGTGCGAGCTGGGAGGGCTATAGGCAGCGGTGTTCCAATGCGAGAGATGTGGCTTACGCGATCTCTTGTCCGGCTGAGACACCTTCATGGGAACCAAATACGGTAAACACGGTCAAACAATTCCAAGCAAACCCCTATACTGGCCCCCATCCAGTGATCTGTTTCTCCTCTTCCTCTTCTTCTTCTTCTTCTTCTTCTTCTTCTTCTTCTTCTTCTTCTGCTGCTGGGCATGAGGGCCAGGGTTATTCCTGAAAGCCCTGCGCACAGCGTGCCCCCGAGGCTATAGAGGGCTGTAGAGAACTTGTACGCCGGCAAAAACGTGCAGTTCCTGACCCCGGTGGTAGCGAAAGGCCCCTCTCTCAATTCAGTCCGGCGAATAGCTGGACAGGTGCTTTCTGCGCAAGTGGAACGTAGCACCCCGTATGTGTCTGTCTGTGTGTGTGTGTGTGTGTGTCTGTCTGTCTGCCTGTCTGTCTGTCCTCACCTCTGTATCTCTGCCCCAGCCTCGGGCTCGGCATCGGCTCCGTCGGCTCCATTGGCTCCGCTGGCGCCTTTTGTGCTGCTTTGGAGAAGAGCCGTAACTTTGAGAAGAATCGATTTAATTAGAGTGAAAAATGGGCGGCGCGAGGCTGCTTGTGGGATCAGTATGGAGCAAGCAACCTTTTTGGACACGGCTCCCTGGGCCCAAGATGGCCCAAGGACACAACGCAGTCGATCAGTCTCTCTGGCGCCTTGGTTCGCCAGGTCCTTCCATCGCTGCCGCTCTTGAAGCTTCCATTCCTGAATCGCAAGCAAGGCTCTCAGTGAAGACATGCGTTATAATATCTTGCCAAGCTCCGGCAGTATAGGATCTCGGTCTATTCCTGTAAGAAACGAACAAAACAATCCTGTGCATGTCCGTGCCCTGCCCTCGCCTTGCGCTTTAGGATCTTCTCGTCCAGTCTCTTCTCCCCCACCATCCAGCCTGAACAACGAAGAGAGGCAAAAGAAAAGCGACGCTTCTTGCGGCGCGTCGGTGCTCTTTTGATCTTTTTTTGGGGGGTGAGGGGGGGGGGGTTTCCTTTGTTAGAGCCAGTTGCGGAGAACTGAGATCACGAATCAATCGTTCCAAAACAATGGCCCAGCACAGCACATTCAATGGAGCCAATGGCTCTCCACATGTCGTCTCGACGTTGACGTCCAAAACTCAACTTGGAGGAGGCCGCACTTTCTGAGAAACCTGCGCAGGACCCGCGGCCGGTACCTCAACAAGCACTCACTTGAACAACACTTTGAGTCACATCGGTGTTTCGCGGGATACACACAGAAGGCAAAGAACCAGAGGATTACAAATGCAAGAAGAAAGACCTTGAAGAGATAGAGACAGAGAGAGAGAGAGAGAGAGAGAGAGAGAGAGAGCGAAGTGGAATGGACAGAGAGGGGGAAAGGGGGAGGGGGGAGCCGCAGAGAAAGAGAGGGAGAGAGAGCGCACAGAGCACAGAGCAACGCATGAAGCAGAGAAACTGAAAGAGAGAGCGAGAGAGAGACGGAGCTGCAAAAATGAGAAATATTCGCCGAAGGGCAGAGAGAAGAGGTGTCCTCTCCACGTGATGTCCTCTTCAGATGTATAGTTTGTCTCCAGGAACGGAACTCAAGTAGAAACCCCACCCCCCTCAATTCAGAAACCAGGGTCGTTACAAGGTCCTGATAAAAACCAGCGGGCCTGATTTGGGGAGGGGGGAGAAGGGGGATTGAATCAAAGATCAATGGGCAAGGGGGGGGGGCGAGGGGGGCGGGGCGGGCAGGGGGCCGCGAGACACATTGGCTCTGTTCAGCGTGCTCCCTCATTGCATTTGAGCTCTTTGAATCTCTCTGCCCTTTTGCATCTGAGCCCATCACCTCCGCGAGAAAAGCCACGACTTCGGATGCTTAAAGGCATATACCTGAGGTTCTTTGAAAGCACACACACACACAGCGACCGTCGGCATCTGACAGGTGAGTGAGCATTTCCTGGCTTCGCAGAATCCTTTCCGAACATTGAAGCGCCGATATTTGTTGGGAGCTATGTGAAGCTTTGAAAAGTTTCACTTGTCGTGTGCATACTCCACAGGTAATGGCAACTCCTGAGTCAATACTACAAAAAACGCTCCTAAGACCCTTTGAACTCGTTGCTTCACATCTCGCTTCACATCAGTGTTCGGCCTGTCCAGTCCAAGCTGGTCTTGCCTTTTTTTCACCAGCCGCTTGCCTGACACCCCTTTGTGCGAAACAAAACGTCTCCTTTTGGTGTCGGGAAGGCCGAAACCTCGGCCAAACAACCGATTAAAACCACCTCGGCCTGAACCAGAGGTCGCTGTTGAAGCACGTTCTCTGTACTCGCGAGAGCCGTTAGAATTCGCCTCGGCTTCCTGCCGAGAAGCGTCTGGAACAAGCAGACCCGGATCGAGCCTCCAGCCCCCTAACCCAACCCTTCAAAATTTTGTGACAAATTTCCGGCCCCCCCCCCCGCCCCCTTGCTGTGTGGGACCCCCCCCCATCACTTGGAGGAGCTGTGAAACGATGCCTGGAGGGTCCCGCATGTCACGTCGGCGGCTCCGGGAGCGCCTCAAAACGCACAAAAACCCCGCCACCCCCGCCCC